CCCATGGCCTGGCTCCCAAAAATACACACGCTCACACTCACATACATAACCCCACCCCCCTCCCCCCTTCCACACGCCACCCGATCTCTGCAGCGCACAAAGCACACTTGATTTTCACATTCCTTTCGATGTTGGTTTCTTTTTTTCCCATTTCTGTCCCGTTTTGGTGTTTCTCCATGCACAATTGCAGATAGCGATTTATTTGGCACCGGCACCGGCAACAAGTATAAGAATCGGAACCGCCATAGAATAAATAAAGCACTTGCCAAGTATTTAGAGCGCGAGAACGAGAGCCACGAGCCGGGCGGCCCAGGCGGCCCAGGCGGCCCAGGCGCCCCATTTGATGGCTACGAGTTCGACGACGAGCGCGAGCAGCAAACGAATCCCAGCCAGTTTGTGGACGAGAAGCGAAAGCGCTCATCGTCGCCCTTTAGGGAACGCGATGAGCAGCAATACGGTAAGTAACCACTAGACACACACACACACACACGCACATACAGACGTATCTGTAGGGTATTGGTAAAGTTATATGCTAGATGCGTGTCCACTTGAGTGCCTCAAATGGATTGGGATAACAATGCTTTTCGCTTTTCAGCTAAAACCACTTAACTCAGATTAACTTGTGCTCGAGTGTAGGTGTGCGTCTGTGTGTGGGTGTAGGTGTGTGTGTGGACTTAGGCTCAACTCCTACTCGAATGATGAATGCAACGAGCTGGAATCACAGGCACAAGCATCCTGCCAGCCTTCCTGCCATTTGATTTAATGGCTGTGCCTGAAAGGTCGCCAACAACTTGATGCGTGCCCATAAGCTCTACACACACACACACACGCGCACACACATGCGCACGCACAACGAATTAATTATAGAAGTTGGATTTATAGTCCGGGCACTGTCCGGGACTGCCTGTCAGAGCAACCTGTCGCCTAACAACTGATTTAACTGAAGGTCAAAGTACTGACACGAGCTTTGCTTTCTCTCTTTACACACACACATGCACAGAGACTGGTCCGTCCGTGTTCCGTGAGCGTGAGAATCTAGGCGGGAATGCAGAGCCGTCGCACAGCGAGCTAACCGAACAGTTTCTGCGCGAGATCGAGGAGGCCGGCGAGCACGAGCGACAGGAACGTTACAAGGCGGCGCTGCGTCAGCTCTGGGAGAAGTATCAGCAGCAGGAGAACGAGCTGCACGGCAAGGGCAACGACGGCGATGAGGAGCCGGAGGAGCAGCAGCAACTATTCGAGCAGAAGAAACGGATGCGCGTGCCGCCCTACTATCTGCTGATGCAGAAGAAGCGCTCGTATCCGGTGCTGCCCTGGCTGCCGTACAATGCGGACAAGAAGAAGCGCTTCCCGGTGGCCAAGCGTGCGGCGGGCGAGTCGCCGCTGGGCAAGACCGACGAGCGTGTCGCCCAGGAGCTGAGCGAGCTCTTTGGCAAGCCAGCATTTGACCAGCCGCAGCAGCAACAGCAGCTGTCGGAGGAGAAGAAGAAACGCTCCACCGAGGAACAGCTGAAGGCAGCGCCCACAACGCTGCTGCCGGAGACGGCAGCTACGGCCACGGCTCTGGGTGACATGCGGTTGGAGATCAACTTTCAGCGAGTGAACGTCAGCAATGGAGTGGCCAAGGAGTCGACGGCACAGCCCCTGGCACCGGCACAGCCCGCAAAGCCAGCCGGCACCGGGGAGATGGTGATGCACGGGCATGCGGGACATCATCGCAAGCGCAGTGAGCATCATTCGGACGAGGAGTACGGCGAGCACGATGAGCATGAGCATGAGCACGAGGGCGAGGGCGAGGGCGAGGAGAGCTCCGACGAGGACGAACACGATGAGTTCGATGAGGAGGAGGAGGGCGAGGCCGACGGCGAGGGAGGCGATGCTGGCGAGCGGCGGCGCAAAAAGAAGCGTGCGGCCAGCTCCAGGCATATGCATGGCCCCGGCGTTGGGCATCTAATGCTGCGCGCGAAGAAGTCCATCGATTGGTCGCAATACTTTGGACTCGATCGCAAGAAGAAGTCGGAGCAGATGTCCGAGTAAGTGCAGCCGTCAGAGACACGAGCAGGAACTCGCCTAGATTTTTCCTTTTCACAATTACAGAGGCGCATCGAAGAAGCGCGGTGATGAAATCGGCAACAACATTAACAAAGAAGGACCGAATGAGGAGGCGCACAAGAGGAAGCGCGACATTGATCCCGAGAAGCTGGAGAGCATGGACAAGAAGCTGCAGTCCATTGAGGATTTCATCATTGATGAGACCATCAAGTACACTGGCGCCCACGAGGGCATCAAGAACCAGGACGAGATACGCAAACTGAAGGAGCATGTGCTATCACGTCTGGCCACCGCGTACAGTCTGGAGAAGATGCGACGGGCGCTGGACAAGCTGCGTCAGTCCGCCGACGCTGAGAATCATCTGTTGCGCAATGTCATCGAATCCGATTCGGAGGAGAGCACGCTGGAGAACACGCACAACTGGCCCAACAAGAAGCGCTACAGCGTTCGCAAGGAGCTGGCCGAGGAGCAGTCGGAGTAAGTGCAGCCGAGTAAGTGGAAACAGCTCAAGTTAATCAAATACCCGTTTTAGTGAGCCGCAGCAGCAGCTGAAGAAGAAGCGCAGCGGCTATATGCGCTATCCGGAGCAGCCGAACACCATGGACGAGGCACTGACCATGCAGGGCACACCCTACGAGACGCTCAACGACGCCTATTTGGGCAACAAGAACTACATCATTGGATCCAATCAGTGCCCAATTATCGAGTCCATGGCCGAGCGTTGCCGCAGCGTTGACCTAATCTCCGGCGACTTGAACCAGGAGCTAATGCCCCTCTGCGGCGTCCATCAGATTTGTTATCTCTGTGTAAGTTTTCTCCAGATGATTCTCTAGATGATTCTCTGATTATTCCACTTGTGTTTCTGCGGCACAGGGCGCCTCGCAGGTGGCCTGCGACTACCAGTACCTGGCCGAGGCGGACACCATCTGCGGCAGCAGCAACGAGTGCCAGGCGGCAGCACGGTCTGTGCTCATGATATTGCGCGGCACGCCCGGCCGTCAGCTGGGACCTCGCGAGTGCTTGAAGAATCCCTGCCTCTACAGGGCCATGCGCGAGATTGGGCTCTAAGCGAGCGAAAAGTTTAACTAAAAGCCAAAAATTAAAAACATTTCTTAACGTCCTTTTGTGTGCGTTTCAAAAGAAAACAACAAAAATACTACAAAAAAAAAAATACAAAACATAAATGAAACTTTGCTGAACTAGCAAATCAAATATTTGATTCAAAAAAATCGATATATAAAAAAAAATATATCTATATATAAATGTGAACAAAACCAGTTAAAATATTTGGATACATTTTGCTGTTTGCCAGAGAAGCAACAGCTCAACTAGGAGAGCTAAAATACACTTAAAAAAAAAGAGGAAGCTATAGGCATACCAAATGCGATTTGCAAAGCAGCATAATAACCATATACCAGAGTTTAAACGATTTTTTCGCCAAGCAGTAGGCACCAGATTTAGTCCTCGAATACAATGCTAAATGTTCAATGTTTTCTTTGGAGTGTGGACAGCAAATTTTGATTTGGAAGCACATTTAATCTATATATTACATATGAATGTCTACAAGAATATATACAACAAAAACAAAAACAAAAAGCAAGCATATTATAATCAAAATATTCATATGGTATATTCATAAATGTATTAACAATTATTATGTGTACAAGTTCGCCTCGCTAAGAGCAAAATAAATACAAAGAAAAAAAGAAAACACTGAGAATGAAAATACAAAACACAAGCAACTCACACAGGCAGCTACTTAGCCGATATATATATATATATATATATATATATCTTTTAGATACCGCCCATTAAATGCAACACAAACAAAAGTACACATACTACATATTTATATAGCTAAACCAGATGTAGTGGCATAATTGACGCGATGCACACAAAGACACAAATAATGGAGAAATATCAGATAAACTATATATTAAATATAAATTTTGAACACATTTAGCGTATATGAGATGGTAACTTGATAAATCTTTTTTAAATGTATTTTAATGTTTTCATGGAGCCCAAATACAAATACATTCGATTGAACGAGTAAAAAACTTCGAGTAAAAAACTTGAGAGCATATTCTTCAAATGAGATCTTTAACACAATTAACTGTGAGGTTTGCAGGCGAAATTTTGTTGTTGTTGTTTTGAAATTTTAAATGAATAACAAAGAGATGGCTTGAAAAAAGATTTCGAGAGTTACTTATTGATGTCTTATAAAATATTCATCATATTTATTACTGTGCGCGAGCATGTCTACGAAAAAACATATACTTAAATGTGTTTCAGTGTAAAAACAATAAATGAAAATAACTAAGACAAATATTCTTTAAAAATCTATAGATGTGATTATATAATAAACATAAGGCAAAAGGCAAAAGGCAAAAGGCAAAAGGCAAAAACACAGTAAATTCAAAACTAAAGAAGAACAAAAAACAAAAAATAAATTGAATTTGCATTGTATTGAATCAAAATATTATTATAAATGTATTTACATATATATATATATATTACTGGATGTATAATATGCTACAGTTTGACAAAGAATTTAATGAAAACTCTTATATGACAAATATATATCTATATATACGTATTGCTATACAGTTATAAATGTAAAATATATAAACGAGGTCTCCCCCAATGCGTTTTAAAATTGATACAAATATATAACGGCATAAATTCAAATGGTGTCGCATGAGACCTCGAACAAAAAAAAACAAATTAAACTCGTTTTATTTCAGTTTTTTTTTAACTGTAAATATTCGACGCATTACTTCGAAACATTGTAGTTGGTGTATTTCGAAGAGCGGCACTTCGGTGTTTAAGTGCTTCTTTAAACATGGCGCGCAGCTTTCAGTGTTGTAAAAGTTGAACAGCTGTTTTCAACAGAGTTTGCATTGCTTGCGTTGTCCGATTCAGAGTTGTCATCCCAGCTGAGCTTGCCACATCAGAATTAGGTTGTTGCTGTTTTGTTGTCTGTCTAAACAATATTACCATATCAAGGTAAAAATTTGTTCCAATAAATTAATAGTATGTTCTAAGCAAAAGCAGTTGTGAACTCGTCTGACTACTAATGTAACTGCATTCAATGTGATTAAGATTCAAATCGTCAAAACTTTGAACACGTCAGATCTATATATGCAGCATCCGTTGCCGATAAACAAACAAAGCCCATATATCAATCGGAACCGGAGCAGTGTACATGAAGAAGCTGCATAGATAAAGGCCAAACAGTGTCGAATTAGCCACGAAGTTGCCGACGCGTTGCCAATTTTTGACGAAGCCAAACAACACATACACGCAAACATGGCAGAAACAACAAGCATTGATGTCAGCGGCGAAATGGAGGTGCCGCCGCAGCGTCCAGCTGGTGGTCAGAACAGATTCAGCATCGATATGCCAACGTGCGTAACGACGTCCAACTCTTTTAAGGATCAACCAATTAATGCCTGCTTATGTTTACCCCCTTAGCCTGCCTTCATTGTCGAATTTGCCCACTCCCTTGGAGTTGATTCACATGGTGCGACGTTCCCTGCGTCCATGGACTGTGTTCTTCAACATCAACAATTTTAAAACTGCGGTCAGCATGCAGCGTCTGCAAAATCGAGTCACGCGTAATTTATCATTTTTCCAGAGCAACTATATATTCATATTTATAGTACTGATGATCTACTGTCTGTAAGTGTAAATATTATTTTAATATTGGAGCGCAGCTGTTTACGCATTTGTCTGCATCTCTGTTTAGGATTACATCGCCGGTTACTCTACTGGTTATAGCCGCTGTGGCATATTGCTGTCACAAAATACGCAGCGTCAATAACAATGTGAATATCGCGGGATATTCGATGTCGCCAAAGCAGCAAGTCATAGCCGTGAACATGGTAGCGGCACCTCTGCTATTCCTGGCTGGCGCAGGATCTGTGCTCTTTTGGACGCTGGGCGCATCCTGCTTTGTCATATTCCTGCATGCGGTATTCTACAATATTGACGCAATCGTAACCGAGGAGAACGAATTATTCTTAGCGCAGGTCGTCTAATTGACGAGCCTCGAACCGAAACTGAGCATGGAGAATCTTAAATCTGCCGCACAGGGGCCTTATAGACAATAAGTTGCAATATATATATATTTATATCGAAACCGACTTGTAATTAAGTTTTATCAATCAGCGACAATGTTGCTTTAGACGTATTAAAAAAAAAATATCCATATACACCAACAAAGTTGTTTTTTTTTTTTAATAATTGCACATTATTATGTATATATATTGTGTACTTAAAGCAATTTGGCAAAAGTATCGCAACAGTAGAAAATGTGGAATGGTCAGAAAGTATACACAATCACATGGTAAAGTGGAATAAATAAAACATGTATAAAAACAAATTCACTGAGGTATTCAGAACTAGAACTAGGAATGCTTAGTTAGCTTTACAAAATAGATAAGTCTCTTGGTCCAGGTGTGTGTGTGTGTGTGTGTTGTGTGTGTTTTTGCTGTCACCTAAGCGAACTGCGAGAGCGTTGTCGTCTCCTGATCCTGCTCCTCGTCGCTGGCATTCTGATCGAGCTTCTCAAAGCCATTGCGATCGAGCAGGCCGCCCAGCTTAAATCCCTCGGTCTTCTCCCAGGCATGCCGGCGATTGTGTGTGCCAAATGGTAGGCAACCTGTTAAAACCGCATCAAAATGACAATTTAATTGGGAAAAACAATGGAAATACACAAAAACATGAATATATATATATATATATGTATGCATATATACAGGGCATGCAGTCGTCGTTCTTGCACTTGCGTTAATCAGAATTTCATTCATTCGCTGCAATTTAAAACGAACAAAAAAGAACAAAAGACACTTAAAAGTAGATTATTTCTTACATTGTTTAGATTTGTGTATGTATTTTGTATAAAAAATATAGGTATGTATATAGCTGTACACAAAGTATGAGATTACAAAATGAGAAACACGATTCTTGTCGGAGTGACTGACAAGGGGAATGCAAGGAAAATCAACTTAAAAGTAAATTTTTGAAACATTATACACACAACTACATAATGGAACTGGAGTGTGAGTGGTATTAGTTAGCACAGACTTTGATTGGAAGCGGCCAGCTCGCGATAGACCAAATCACTGGGCGGCATCGAGCTGATCACTTGATTACCTCGTTTGCGGCGGCGCGCCATGATCAGCGCCAGAGCGAATGTGGAGCCGGCAAATAGGAGCATCATGGACGCCACCATTATGGCCTTGCCGCTGGGATGATGGCGAGTCTGTGTCGCAGCCACATTGCTAGCCGTTACAGACAAGTCGCTAGTAGAGATTTGCTTAGTCGCGGACAGGGACATGGGCTTGGCCAGCGATTTGTGCACGAATTTGTGTATGCGCTTGGGTTTCAGTTCAGCCACATAAATAGTATTGCCATCCTCAGTAACGGCCACATCGTGTGGATTCTCGAATTGCAGATTGTTCGGACCAAACTTCGAGACCAACTGTTTGGTCCGCATGCTCATCACGAAGCCATGCACTTCGTTGTGGTCCTGTGGGGATACACCCAGTTCGGCGGTGGGTCCGTTAACGATCACCAGCTGACCGCCTAACAATGAATCACATAATTCAAATACATTTCAGATTGAATAAGTAACAAAACTTACCCTCTGCAGGTGTATAGGCCATGCTGAACAGACGGTCGCCAATAAGCGGATTATGGTATTGAGAATGAAAAGTGCCATTGTTCGAGTAGAAGCACTGTACGCGTCCATTTTCACGATCGGCGGCACAGAGCAGCTCCAGTTCGGGCACCAGGGTCAGTGCATGTGGAATTGCAAAGAAATTGGCCGGTGCCACATCATAAGAGTAGCCAGAAAAGGAGTTCTGTCCCCAGACAAGTATCTGTTCGCCCGCCTTTGTATATTTAATAATGCGCGCATTACAATAGCCGTCGGCCACAAAGAAATCCCCATTGTTCAGCACCGCCACAGCGGTGGGTTTGCAGAATTTATTTGGGCCATTGCCAGGACGAAAGGCAGTGCCCAGTGTCAGTAGTGGTCTGCCGCCCTCGCCACGCGGCGGGAATTTAAATACCTGATGCAAAGCGACATCGGTGACCCAAACATTGTCCTCAGGATCAATGCTCAAGCCGTGCGGCAGGTAAAAGCTGCAAGCAAAAGGCATTTACATGTAGCAACACAAAAAATATGGATACGATGGATGGCGCTTACAATTTTTTACCCCATTCGTAGAGCACTTTGCCAGAGTCCGGCTCAAGGCCCAGCACAGTGTTCTCATTAATGGGACCTCGACTGCGCTCCTGGTATACGTTCGCAGTGTTAAACGTCGTTTGATCCCAAAGGCGATCGACTCTGTGAAATATGACCACATTGCCGGCTTTGTCGAAGCTAACCGCGGTGACGGCGCCCAGTCTCACATTATTCGCTGGCCAGCTATTCTGATAGACATACGCTAAAAAAGCAAAGAGAAGGGATTCAGTTTGACGATGAACCTAAAAGTGTAGGGTACTCACTGGTATTCAGTTTGGCTAACTCAGTCTTCACATCGGTGACTTGCTGTTTGGCGCGTTGCGGCCAATTGATTTCGGCTGCGCCAACCCCTTTCAGCATTTGCTGTAGCCTCTCCGTGTTGCTCCCGACATTCTGTAGATAACGTTGAGTGCTTTGATTCTGTGAATAGATTAAAATAAACAGCGTATAATTCAATTTGTCACGAGAGCATAAATTCCTCTAGGTACAAACACACACGCGCATGCATGTGTGTGTGACGTCAGAAAACAAAATCAATACACAAAACATCTGTGTTCACACTTCAGGTGGAAAACATATGTTGTTGTATTTAGCAGGAAACCAGTAATTTATTATCGTGATAATCACCTCGTTCACATCAGCAGACGCTGCCAGCGGGCCGCAGCCACTCCAGAGAATGCCGATTGCCAGGTAAAGGCTGTAGCTACGTATACAACTGTTGTTGTTGCTGGAGCGCTTCATGTTTACTCATGAAATTTAAGAGTCAATTTTCCTTTTGAAGTGAGGCGAGTTAAAATCTCCTTTATAGCTTTTTCTGTTGTGTATCGTATTCCCTTAGGCGTGCCACGCGCAAGACTTCGGAAATCTTCGTATCTGATCAGGTCAATACAATTAAATATTGTAATCAACCAATCGACATCCTCGCTATGTTTTAAGCACAAAAAAATGGCAAGTTGCGAGCAACTGGAATGTTGTTTGTGGCTGGCAAACTACTTATACAGCTTCAATTCCTGCGAATATGCACTGCATTAAAAAACTTTTGGCAATAAATGATTTATGTAGCTGCAGCAGCCATTTTAACTGGTTGATTGTTCGAACAGCTGTTAGAATGGCCAAACTAGCTAGAGCGTCAAATGTGTTTTAAAAGTGTGGTCACCCTAACGATAGGCTTGATAGCAATACTCACCTGACTCCGCGTCTATCGATTGAGGAATTTTTGAAAATTAATCGTTCATTAACTGTATATAAAAACCGCTCAGTAGCTGTTAAATATTGAGTATGTATATTGAATCGAACGAGTAACATTTGTGCAGCTTCTCCAAACTAAACGAAATTAAAGTGAAAAACTCAGCACTGAGACTTAGTGACTAAGGCACCACACAATATTCAATAACCGCAGTGGCAGCAACTCGAGAACTGTTTTTGCACAATGGAAATTGTAAATCATTGCATATTTCTAATTATCACAGCTGTTGTGTGCGCCGCAGAATATGAGGAACGTGAAATACCTTATCGCCGCAGCTTTATTAATCCATACCCGCGATTCAGTTACCACAATGACGGCATTGATCCTGGCGAGCCGCTATTCCTGACGCCCCTTCTGAACAATGAGTCCATATCCAGGCAAGAGGTGCAGGATATGGCGCGCGTAAGGGGTCCACAGTTTCTAGGAGTTGAGAGCTATTCGGGTTATCTGACCGTCGATGAGGCTTACGATTCGAATATGTTTTTCTGGTATTTCCCAGCCGAGCAGGATCCGGAGCATGCGCCAGTTCTACTATGGCTACAAGGAGGACCCGGCGCTTCCTCTCTCATAGGCTTGTTCATGGAAAACGGCCCACTCAAAGTAATTAGCCAGGACAAGCTGAAAAGGACGAAATACAGCTGGAGCAGAACACACAATCTGATCTACATCGATAATCCTGTGGGCACGGGCTTCAGCTTTACGTGCCATGCAGAGGGCTACGCGCGCAACGAATGCGATGTGGGACAAAATTTGCACGAGGCAGTCATCCAGCTATACAAACTGTTTGCGTGGAGCAATTCCTCTGGCTTCTGGATCGCAGGCGAGTCGTATGCCGGCAAATATGTGCCCGCCCTGGCCTATCACATACACAAGGCTCAGTCAGGCTCAGGACATAAGGAGCACGATCATATACCGCTTAAGGGCGTGGCTATTGGCAATGGCCTGTCCGACCCGCTGCATCAGCTCAAATACGGCGACTATCTCTATCAGTTGGGCTTAATTGATGAGAACGGCCTGGACAAGTTCCACTGTGCAGAGGCAGCGGGAAGGGAATGTATTAGGCAACAGGACATGGATTGCGCCTTTGAGATATTCGATTCCTTGATTCTGGGCGATTTGCCAAACGGCTCCCTTTTCAAAAACTTGACGGGTTATCAGTGGTATTACAATTACTTGCAGGCCCATGACGAAGACTTCGTCTCCAAGCTGGGCAACTTTTTGCAGGCAGGTGCCACTCGTCGTGCGATCCATGTGGGCAACAAGCCGTTCCATGACATGGATAAAGAGAATCAAGTGAAGATGTTTCTGAAAGAGGATCTCATGGACAGCGTGGCGCCCTGGATAGAAGAGCTCCTAAAATACCATACCGTCTGCATATATAGTGGCCAACTGGATATCATAGTCGGCTATCCATTGGTACGGAATTATCTGAGAACCTTAAAGTTCCCGGGCTCTGATCGCTATAAGACCGCACCCCGTAAAATCTGGAGAGTTGATGGGGAATTGGCCGGTTACTTGAAGCAAGCCGGTAATTTGGTTGAAATATTGATAAGGAATGCTGGTCACATGGCTCCGCTGGACCAGCCCAAGTGGGTATACGAGATGATTAACCATTTGACTCACTAGACTCATTAAAGGTGGTATTTACATTTGGTGAATACTTTTTTAGATGAAGCTAATAAACTTATTTTAGAATAGTTGTAAGTGTATGTCAAAAATGTATATATTTATACTTTGTATGAATAAATTATCATGTTTTTAACAATCGTGAATTATTGGTACAAGTGTTTTATCTCATTTTATTTTTAAGCATCAAAATTTTCTATTTTTGTTCGTGATCAGCGTACATTAACTCATTTTACTCAAAATGGCAATGTTCATATAACATTAGGCTGTTAAAAAACATAGGCAATGCATCACTGAATCGCGCAACACTACAACTTTTCAACACTGAAACGCGCAACACACCCCGCTTCCCGCTTTGCCTAAAAGCCATTATTATTTTTCGAGTTTCATCCACAGCCACAGTGCAAATTACGGCCGCACGTTAATAAATTATAATAACTAACAATAACAATGCTAAGATAAAGTTAAAATCTAGCTTTATACGTTCATCAACTTAATTTAAGTGTTAAAGTAGTTCTAAAGTGTCCTTTAGGTCGCCAAAAAAAAAAAAACAAATACGAGTCTCAAGGCACGCAACTAAAAAGAGGTCGTCTTCGCTGTTCTTGTTGTTGTCATAATCGCCTGCTGCTGTTGTTTTTTTTTTGTCAGCAATAAATTAAAATACAACTACACACATTGGGCATTTCGCATGCACGCCTAATGTATGTTCTGATTGCTGCATTTGCCCTGCTGCATACGAACTAGAATACAAAAATACATTCGCCAGCGCGAAGAAGCAGAAGTGGAAGACACTAAGGTGAGTGAGCGCGGCATCAATACAAATGTAAAATTGAAACTGTTATGCCATATGCGGCAGTGGCGTCGGCCAAGGGGGGCCGCTGCACAGTTCAATGGACGATGAGCGAGTGAGCGCGAGTTGGTAACTGTCAAGAACCTGATTATATCAAACGGCAAATGCAGCTGCATTTTATCGAATTTCAGCAGCAAAACAACCACAAAAAATAAGAACTAGAAAAGTGCAACAAGACATGTATCTATCTATATAAGTTGAGAGGGTTAAACTCTTAATGCACATTTCTGCTTGCTTTGGTGGTTGCTTGCCCTTGCCGTGCGCCCCTTTTGCCGCCTGTCCGACTCCCAAGCCCGCCGAGCCTGTCACAATTTGATTTAGGCACGTCTGTCGCCTGCTCGATCCGTTCGTCGCCTCGTTGCGCTGGCTGCATTTAAATGCAGTTTTTGTACATTTTGCATGTTGCTAAAAGTACGAGCACAATTGCAAGACAAAGAGACACCATTTGTGTGCATTGTGTAGCCAATAAAAATATTTGCATTGTTAACGCTTTACCCAATTGCAGCTGCACAACAACAACAACAAAAACAACAACAACAGCAGCAGCGCAGTCTGGAGCATCATGCAGCATCATGTGCATGCACCGAGAGCAGCGCCACATTTGCGCGCCGCACATCATCACGGTCACATTGCGCTGCCACCGCATCCCGGCATGGAGCCACATCTGGGCACACTGGCAGCAGCGGCGTCCCTTGTCACACAGCAACAGGCGCCGCCGCCACCGCCACGCGAACATGGACGGTAAGCGGTAGACGACAGTTGGACACGATTTCTTGGCTTGTTACGGGTTATGGGTTATCTTTGGGTTTGGTTAGCCCCTCTTGGCCATGTCGTCGTCGCCGTCGTGCCTAGGCGCTGCTCTTCTGTACGTTGCGGCAATTATGTTAATTCCTGTCACTGACAATCGCCTGTGAGACTCATCATCCCATTTTCTCAACTCATAAATTATAATTTCAGTGGCTCTTTGTTCTTTAGCGCTCAGCATGACTTCCGCTCGATAACGGGTTTGCAGCAGCAACAACAACAACATCAGCAGCAGCAGCAGCAGCAGCAGCGGCTGCAATTATCCTTGACGTTCGTTAGGATCGCACTGCGGCCAGTTTCTCTTTTTTTTTTTTTTTTTTTTGTTTCCTTCGCTCAGTTTTGTCGCCTTTTGTGCGATCAGATGTTTTCCTCGGCTACAGCTCCAAAGCAAAACTGTTCGCCCTAACCGACCCGCCAGTTGCTCTGCAGTCGCGTTTCGCCTCGCCTCGCACTCGCCTCGCATTGAGCGCGTTCTGAATTCTACGCTTATTTCGCAAGAGCATGTAAAAGATTTGTGTCAGGTGATGATGCAAGCATTTCCAATAACTAAATGCTCAATTTCTGCATTAAAAAGTGAGCACATGCAGGCTATTCCCTTCACAGGGTAGTGTGTATAGCAAAGTGAATTCAAAGAATGTGCAACGATTTCTAAGGCAACAAGTAAAAGCCCGCCCTTTGCTCATCATTATTAAGTTCTCCGCATTGTTTAATAATATATTAAAATGCTATCAAAGATATGAAAGTTATACAAAGTGAAAAGTGTTTGGTTTGTCCTTCTAAAACTTACTGATATTACTTTTATAGAAGTGTGTAGATATGCGAAGCTCTTTACAAGTTCAAATATTACCTTTAAATAAGATAAGGAGGAGCTTCCTTAGTTCTTGATCTTGGTGATGAAATTCAAGCAGCAAGAATACGTTGTCAGACTAGTATTGAATTTTTTTAATTTTATAAAAGTGTTTAATATTGAAAGTAAATGATAAATGAATGTCTGCAAATATCTTAAAGAATTGTAAAGAGCGATCGTTCTTTTTATGAAACTCTTATTCAAATTCAAGATATTCTTGCATTGTATTCTTTAATTCCGTGATATTGCTTAACTTGATTTCAAATCAAAGAAAAAATGTATAATTAATTTAATGAAATATTCATCTTTTGTTATTACCAGTTGTTGACCAGGTGACGTTCTGGCAAATATAAAAATATAAATAGGGCTTCTAACATATATTTGCTTGCAGTTAAGCTTGCCTAATTTCACAATATTGCTTATGCATTCTTTCATCCACTTCAGTTGTATGCAAATTCAGCTATGTACTTGAACTCTTCACTTGAACAGCTTTGTTTAATCTTAACTCTCTGACAATTTTTTAATAGATTTAGCGATTGCAAATTAACTCGCCGAGTGGATAGCATATGCATTTGTTGGTCAACACGCGGTCATCCACAGATTTGCAAAGATTTCCGAGCTTAAACCCGGTGGTCCTCCCTCTTTCCCCCCCCAATACCATCGCTGTCTCTTTCTCGCTATCTATCTATGGGTAGGTGCGTCTCAATTGAAGCTGACAGTTGGCGAAAAATGACACGATGCGCAAGAGAATGCGGCTTTTGTGCTTTGTTAGGGATCAGAAATCCCTATTGTTCGAGCTTTACCGCTGTTGTCTGTCGCTGTAACAACAACAACAACAACAACAACAAGGGGCACGGCGCAAAGGGTGAACCTCTGTTGCCTCTGACCGTGATTATTTTTTTGTTGTTTTGTTATTTTTGTTTTCGATGGCCACTCAATATGCCTTTTTTTATGTGCTTAGCCCCGGCAGTCAAAGTTTATCATTTCATGGGATTCCACGAGATTTCAGGGCTTCTAATTTCAAGTATGAATTTCAAAAATTGTATAATATATTATGGATTAGCTTGGATTCGTGGCCTCTGTCGAAATAAGAATGGTTGAGAAAGTGAAAATGAATATTTAAGTTAGAAGATTGTTAACAAGAGTAGAATATTTTAGCCATAATTGGTTGCAGGAACTATCAACAATTATTTGTTAGTATGAAGCAAGTGTTCTTTAACCTTTGCTTGCACCTTTGAATGTAGAATTAGAAATACCAGGATGTTTTATTTGTTTCCTTTTGTAAACACTCTTATTATTTCTGTGACAAACATCGATTTTACATAAAATTGTCATTTCATAATATTTATAGTATGTTTTTCTATAGAAGCCTATGCATTTTTGAGCATATTTCAACGATCGTAGCTATTTTTAAAAGTTTAATTTCTTGCTGAAATTTTGTATAGATTTGGAGTACGCCGAATGCTCTCCGCCAAGCCAGACACCTGTGCCTATTATGTAGTATAGCTAGCTGAGGCATACTAAATTAGTAAATAGGCTTTAGTAATCAGATTAGAGCAGCAGAAAATTGTTTAGAAAAACTTTTTGATATCAAAATTATGGTCAACAATTAATGCCTATCGTGATATAGTTAAGCACAGGCTGTTGCTCTTATTAAAGCCCGTTCAATTTGACATACACTTGCAGCCTGAATCATCATCATCATCATCATCAACAGCAGCAGCAGCATCCACAACCGAATGCCGCGTATCACAACAGCAGCAGCAACAACGACCACAGCAGCATAAATAACAATCAAATGCAAAAGATACGACAGCAGCATCAGCATCTCAACAGCAACAGCAATGGCCATTTAACAAAATGTAATCAAGCTCCGCCACCAGCGCCTCAGGCCTACAATCATCTGGCTGGGAATCCTGCAGCGCTCAGCTACGGCCAGTTGCCACATCATATGACGCATCTGGGCAGCTATGCGGCACAGCCGCCGCCGGCAGTGCTAAGTGGCGGCAAGCAGCAGCATTACTATCTGAGCAGTGGCAAGCCTTCCAAGTACAACAACAGCAACAACAGCGGGAGCAGCAGCAGCTATGCGCATGCAACAAAAACCATTCTGCAGAACACCTACCGTCACGCCAAGAGCAATGGCCAATTGCCTGTCGCAGCTATGGAGGCGCCTGTAGTTGCTGGAGCGACAGCAGCAACAGCGGCTGCTGCAGCGGAACATGCTCTGCCCAGCACATTGCGCCTTGTTGGCAACTGCAGGAACAGCAACAGCGATAGCATAGCCATTGCCAGCGATGAAGTCTCTGAGGTGCCGTCTGCCGAGTCGCCTGATAACTGTGAGTCATTAAAAGAGACGACGTTGACGCAGGACGAGGACTGCAGCAGCAGCGCGGAGCAATTGGATGCCGCCGGCACGCTGTCCAATGAAGATGGCAGCGCGGCGCGCGGCTCCAAAGACAAGACGCCCATGTGTCTGGTCAATGAGTTGGCCAGGTACAATAAGGTGAGCCAATAAATTGTTTCTTGCTGCAGCATATATAGATTAAATTCCTCTCATGCCGCCGCAGATCACACATCAGTATCGCTTGACGGGCGAGCGCGGTCCGGCGCATTGCAAAACCTTTACTGTTACTTTAAAGCTGGGCGAGGAGGAATATTCAGCAGATGGTTTCAAAATCAAGAAGGCGCAACATTTAGCCGCCTCGAAGGCCATCGAGGAGACCAAATACAAGCATCCGCCGCCAAAGATACGCCGCAACGATGAGGGCAGCTCAACGCGTACGCACATCACGCCCACCGTTGAGCTCAATGCGCTGGCCATGAAGCTGGGCCAACGCACCTACTATCTGCTGGATCCAACACAGATGCCGCCGTCAGATGCCATGCTGCCGCCCGAATATGCTACACCCCTGCTGCCTACACCAGCGGCTGGTTTGCCGCCGCCGCCTTATGCATTGCGTCGCAATGCCAATGCGGGTTATGTGCTACCGCCTCCGCCCATGCATCCCCACCATCATGTGGCAATACAGACACAGCGCGGTATCTATGGCCATCAGCGACCGTTTGCGCCTAAATATCAATCGCGGTATGCACTGGCGCCAGCACTGGGACCGCATATGCTAGCCGGCCCGCATGGACCCTATGCGGCCGCACTGGCCGTAACACCCAGCAAGATTACCTTGTTTGTGGGCAAGCAAAAGTTCGTGGGCGTTGGACGCACACTGCAGCAGGCCAAGCACGATGCGGCGGCGCGTGCGCTGCAGGTGCTCAAGACGCAGTCGAATAGCTCAGCTGACGAGGGGCTGGACGACTCTATGGATGAGGGTGACAAGAAGTCGCCCATATCGCAGGTGCATGAGATTGGCATCAAGCGCAACATGACGGTGCATTTCAAGGTGCTGCGTGAGGAGGGACCAGCGCACATGAAGAACTTCGTCACCGCGTGCATTGTCGGATCCATTGTGACCGAGGGCGAGGGCAATGGCAAAAAGCTGTCCAAGAAACGTGCTGCCGAAAAGATGCTAACCGAGCTGCAGAAATTGCCGCCCTTCACACCGACCAAACAGACACCCATGAAGCGCATCAAGGTGAAGACGCCCGGCAAAGGTGGCGCAGCGGCAGCTGTCACAGGCATTGCAGCTGCCGCCACCGTCACGCCGCTGGGCAAGCCGGAGCGACGCAAGCGTCTCAATGCGCCATTGAAGGAGAAGCCCATTGTGGAGCTGGATGATGCCGAGAATCCCATCACGAAACTCATTCAATTGCAGCAGACGCGCAAGGAAAAGGAACCGATCTTCGAGCTAATTGCCAAGAACGGCAACGAGACGTCCAGGCGGCGTGAGTTCGTCATGGAGGTATCCGCCAGCGGCAGCATAGCGCGCGGCACTGGTAACAGCAAAAAGCTGGCCAAACGCAGTGCAGCACAGGGTGAGTTACAGTTTTGCCATATCATTGATTCGTTCTAATTCTATCAAATCCCCCTCAGCCCTGCTCGAATTGCTGGAAACAACGGAGCAAAGCGGCGGCGACTCGGAACACGCCTTGGAACACAATTTGCCTGCTGCTGCAGCTGTGTCTGTAGGCGGGCTAACTATAGAGTCAACTGGCGGACTCGATGTGCCCATGGTCTCAACGCCTGCTGGTCCTGTGCCCGGTATTTTAATACTGCGTCAAAATAAAAAACGTAAGTGAGAATCCACTAAGGCGACCATAAGTGGCAGATTAAACGTTTTTTACATATCAATAGCAGCGAAGAAAAAGGATGCGGTGGTTGTGGTCAAAGCCAATGTGGAGCCAGCTAAGGAAAAGGAAGCCAAAAAAGAAGCTATAATAACAGCAACAGTAACAGAGAGAAAAAGTAGCCACAACAGCAGCAGCAACAACGAGTCGAATGATCATGAGGCGGCCAACGAGAGCAGCCTAAACACCTCCACGGGCAGCAACACAAGCGGCGTCAGCAGCAACAGTAGCAATGCGCCCGCCAGCAAAAGCGGCAGCAATGCCAGTGGCGGCGGTGATGCCAGCAGCAGTGCTGCTGGTGGAAGTGCTGGCGGCGGCGGTGCTGGTGGTGGCGGCGGCGGCGGTGGTGTGCATATGAAGGAACAGCTCATATATCTCAGTAAATTGTTGGATTTCGAGGTGAGTGGCTGGCATATAAAATACAATGGTATAAAAGCTAATTGCTCTTCAAATGCCAGGTCAACTTTTCGGACTATCCCAAGGGTAATCACAATGAGTTTCTGACGATAGTCACGCTCTCCACAACACCGCCGCAGATCTGTCATGGCGTTGGCAAAAGCTGTGACGAGTCGCAAAACTCTGCGGCGCGCAATGCTCTAAAAATTTTAAGCGAACTGGGCCTAAACAATGCCAAGAAATAATAAGCCAAACTAATTAACTGCAATTTATATATATTTTTTTTGTTGTTGTGCATTGCAAAAGTAAATGAAAAACAAAAAAACACCCGTCCACAAATCAAACTAAAAAAAAAGAATAAAGAAAGAAAGAAAGAAAACTAGAAGCTGTGTGCAAATTGAAAATATGCAAGAAACAATGCAAGAAACAGTAATTTTTGAAATAGCAAATTATTAGTTAATACCTATTTATTTATTTATGTGCAAGTGTGCGCAATGTGCATTGTTGATTTGCATTTTTGTGTTAACTGCTGTTATTATTTTAATTTATTTGTTGTTGAAATTGATAATTGAAACCAATTGAACAGAGCCCAGAGCCAAGTCAACTAAAACAAAAATCTAAACATAAGCAAAAGAATAACTTAATAGCCTTATGCTAAAAGTTGAAAAATGTTGCAGCATGTTGCACACATTCTACACAAACACATACTATATTCATATATATATATATAAATATGAATATGTATGTCTATATATGTATGTATATTAAGATCGAGCGCTCATTAGGCACTTAAATTAAATTGATGAACAAATTGTAAACACATAACTAATAATATTTATTAGCTGCATGCGGCTGCCAAGACGCTTATGCAACGCTTTCAAAAAATAAATACAAAAATTTGTCTGCCACATGTTGCATTTGCCTCACAAATGTGAAATTAGAAAACAACAAAATTGAAGCCTGCACACGCTTGTGAAATTTTTAATTTATTTTTTCAAAGCCATGAAAGCCAATCAACGGAGCATAAGAACTGCTGCTGCTTGTGGTCAAATGTATGATGGAACTCGTCGAATAATGAATCTATATAATAATACTATAATTAATATATATTAATAAGCAACAACAATTACAACGATCAAGCAACAAATTGTATGCAGCTAAACAAATTTCCAGCCAACATTTTCATTCGCATATTGTGCAGTTGCAAAGTGAATGTTTGAAATTTGTTGTAGCCCCAACGGCTCCAACTGCCACAATTTGTGGCAAGTGTATTTGCTTTGAATTGTGGCAAGTGGCCAGTTGGGTCGCATATCAATCGGCTTGTGGGTTATAATGAAGGAAATACAATTTACATAATCGTTAATAATTATATTTAATTGTTTAAAAACCATTTTGTAAATGTTCAGTTTTTTGGCATACATCCCCAACTAAAAAACTGAGCATCTTTATGAATAACGTGTTGTTTAAATGCCACCCCCAGTTTGATAATTGTTAATCTATGTTTTATTTCACACATACACACTCAGAAAACTTTACTTTATCACACACACACACGCACACACACACACACATATATTTACATTTGCATGTTATGAAATTTTTTGTACAATAGTTTTTAATTGCTTTGCCCAGTAAACAGCACAGATTAAGCGTTAAGTTGAATTATGTCAAATTGTATTTTGTGAAAAAACAATGTTCGTCGCAACAATGTGCATGATTGCTTTAACTTAAAAAAAAACCTAATTTAAAAATATATAAAAACATATTAAAATGAAAAGATCGTACGAAATTCAACTAAAGAAAAGCCTTACGTATAAGCGAATTATATAAACACTTTTAAAAACACATCCAGTATTAAAAAAACTCATACACCCATAAATAAATATCTTTGATATGCACACATAAATAAATATATTTAATATAAAAAAAGAAGACGAATAAAATACCTTAAATCGTGCACATTGTTTGCATGCGTCGCCCCACTTCCTCAACTCCTCCTAACTAAGCTACCCGTTCAAAAGGTTCATTTTGTTAGAAGATTTTGCAAATTCAAAAAACAATAAATGTTACGCATCAAATTAATTGAATACACTTTGCAAAGTCTTCACGAAATTAATAAGAAGTAATATATAATATTGCATTATAATGTTTATAAAGAAGGAAACTAACCAATCTGTTCATTAAGACAAGACAAACAAAGAAAAACAAAAGGAAAAAAAAAGTTGTGACTACAGCTAAATACACACATTTATTAGATTTTAAGCAAATCAAAAACAATAACAATAATAAGAAGCAGAAGAAGAAGATGCAGAACAACAACAAAAAGTGTTAGTGTTTAAACAAAAGTCTTGTCTCTCGTGAGAAAACAAATACCTAAAAACTATATGACTATGTAAAATGTAATACTTGTAATAAACATTCAAATAAAGTTGAATACTGCCTTTGATTTGATAAACTGACAGCTGTTCAATTTCAGCTTTATTCTTTCTCAATTTTTTGTTTTTTTTTTTGAGTGCTACATAAACTGCTTAGCTTTTATTTATGGCCCTTGTTAATATCAACAATAAAAAATGCGTTGTGTAATTTGTCATAAAAATTAGTGAAAATTATGTCTAAATTCACCATAAAACTGGTGACAGCTTCGAAAGTGTATCGTGCAGTGAGGCGGGGATTGAGCGGAGGGGGGCGCATATAAACGCTTGTAAATTTGACATTTCGCAAGTCCAAATACGATAAACTGCTTAAATTTCTTATATGCTTATTGGCGTGCGATATAGATCATAGAGATTATCTGGCTGCAATGACTAATAAATGAATAAATTTTCAATGTTAAAATAACGTGGATATACATATACAGTTCGATATGCGTGGGATATAGTTCTTTGAATTCGTATGAATCAGGACCAGCGAATATCGATCGAATATTTGTATACTATATTTTGATTCGATATGGCAAGATGTTAATGTGCATCACAATATTTGGGAAAAGGGGAGTCGGTTCTTAAATCGACGTCAATCTAATTAATTAATTGATAAATGTATAGGGTTATAGTTATAGACGGAGAATCGACAACTGATCTGTGGCTTCTCAAGTGGTTTATATTGAAGCCTTTTGGTTTTGGGCTTACATTTTGGATTTCGAGACGCAAGATGGGTTTTAATGTTAAAGCTTAAATGCTGTGGATAAAATATATGGTTGATAAGTGCATATGTTTCTATATATATTTCAAATATCGAACCCAAATAATTCGAGTTAATTGGAATATCTCGGCTATACTTGATATAGTACTATAGTTAATTTTCGTATTTCCGCTATAGCAACAATTGGTTTCCACGTTGGAATTTGCGTATCCGATTGCAACTAAAATAGTATCTTTAAGTAGGCGCGTCGGTTGCAGCGCTTTGTTTCACTTTCTCCGCTGGCATTTGGCTAGCGATTAAAATACAAGTTTTTAGTGGCAAATGCATAATAAATACATAAAATGAAATAAATGCCTTTGACTTGCACATGGGCGCTGGGCGCTGTAACGGGCCAAGCTCGTGCTCCAGCTTCCAATTTCAGATGCGCGGACCCGGCAAAATCAAAGAGTTGCCCACATTTGCATATGCATCCGAGCTGGAGATGCGCACCCGGCGCAATCTGTGTGCGTTTGTCTCTGTGTGTGTGTGTGTCTGGTGTGTGTATGTTGATTAATTTATGGCGCTGATAATAATCCGGCGGCGGCAACGCCAGCTACAGCGTGTGATTATGAAATTTGTGTTTTTGCCAAAAGAAATCAATAATACGGCGGAGGAGTGAAAGATGTGAAAGACGTGAAAGAGCTCAGGCCAGGCCAGATGCGATGCGAGATGAGAAATTAACATGTGTTTGTCAGCGCCGGCAAAGACATTAGTAACACACACACACACACACACACACACACACACATCTGTATCTGTATCTGTGTGTCGCACTGTGATGTAATAGGCATTTGATAGCATGCTAGGGAATTGGGTTTCGGATTTCGGGCTTTTGGGTTTTTGGAATTTTTTGTCGGAAATAAACGTTCAACTCGGCTTGTAGAGTAATTAAAAATCAAATGCTAAGTATTAGCTTAAACCAAATTGTTGTTGTCGTTGCTGATTGTTGTTGCTGATTGTTACTGACTTATATAATTTCTTAATTATTTATACCAAATGTTAAACGTTCGTTTCGGGCGCTGCCCAAAAATTATTATTCCAAATGGGAATCTGTTTTTTTTTTGTGTAGCACATGCTGCTGCCTTTCAGTCGAATGAAAGTGAAACTCTTTTTCTTCTATTTTTTTTTTTTTTGTCTTTCGATTATAACATTTGCCGATGCGGGCTGCCTTTGACTTTGGCTAATTTTGATTTTGATTTATCTACATGTGTGGCTGGAAGATTGGTTCAAGCTTGTTCATAATTTGGTATTTGACAAGCATTTAGAAGCAAACGCCCATCCGTCTGTGTCAGGCTGTGGGAATCTGTCGATAGGCATATTTGTTAAATGCCAAATAAATGCATGGATAGCTACGATTAAGATTTACAATCAAATTTACAATTTGGCTGCAGTTTTTGTTTCGAATTAGATTGGTTTTGGTTTTTGGGGCAAAATTATAATCATTGTGAAAACCTGCTTGCAGTTAAATTTCTTTTAATCACGTTTAATGAGCTGCCAGTTTTTTCCTCTTCCTTTTGAGAGCGTGTGCGTGTGCGGCACCAGAATATGAATTATTTATCTCCACAGATATTGTTTGGATTTGGCCAGTAGCATTGTTTAATGTGTCCACATTTGCATATTTGTTCGTAATTTGTCTGCCGCTCGTGTGCCTTAATTTGGCTAATGATCGAATGGTTTTATGTTTGGAATGTCTTGAGCGACCCTCGTTTTTATCTTTCTACATGTTGTCTAAACTGCTGCTAAAGTTGCTGCTTCTTTTCATGTTACCTTTTAAACAATTGCAGCGAAAAAAACTGCTATTTTTTAAAGGTCAACTTATAGAAAAACTGAAAAAAAATAGTTTTCGATGAATAAACCTAAGGCTTAGCAACAGGCTGCTTAATTAATAGATTATTTTTTAAAAGTAGTTTGTCATAGAACAACACGTGCAGGAAGCGAAGCATAAAATTAAACAAAAATAAGTTAATTTAGGCGCCCGCATTCGCATAATTTAGAATTAGCCGCAGGTGAAAACTGAAACAAGAAATATAAATAAATTATGCCACAAATACTTTGTGGCCGAGACCGAAGTGCCAACAATTGGATTACTTCGAACTGAAGTACAGTAAACACTTGAGAATGGAGCCAAGCCAAGCACTCTTGGTAGGCGGTCCCAAATGATGGATGCCGAATAATTGTAGAACTTTGGCAAATGTGTTCCCCTCCCGCTGCAAAATCAACAATATGATTAATTTATATTGAACATGGAATAGAAAATAGAAATATAAATTTGGTACAAGTGGCTTGCATAATGCCTATTTATATATCAATTTGCGTTGAGAGACAGAAATTAAGGTATTTTGCATAAAAACGAATGTCTGGCCATAATTATGTGTCGAACTGACGGATGCCAGGCAAAATAATAATAAGAAACTCATTTATTTTAAGGCAGCACGTGATTGCTTCTATTTGAATAAAATGCCCTGTAAAGTCTGTAAAAGGGGTGTGCTAGATGTGGGGAATGTTCCACAGGAAAAAACTACACGATAAACGTCTAAACAAAAATTGGAGTGAAGAATAAGCATCATATTCATCTGTAGATCTGCAAAGATTTTTCTTTATCTAGCTATTATTCGACAATTCTTTAAATTCTATAACAATTGAACAATAAACTTAGTATTAATAGCACGAAAAGCCAAAGTAGTCTTTTAAGATATTTGAAAATAATTTTTAAAATTTTATGATTCCCTTGTAGAGCGTCTCCAATCGCATACAATATATATAAATATATATTCTAGATCAGCATCAACAGATGACTTGATAGAGCCATGTCCGTACGTCTCTCTGTCCATCTGTCTGTTTCTATGCAAACTAGACTCTCAGTTTTAAAGCTATCGTATTGAACTTAGCATAGGTTCGTCTTACTATTACATGTGTTGGAGTCGGACGAATCGGAACACTGTATCATCAAGCTGTCATAGAAACGATCGGTCGAAAAGTGAGTTCTTATATGGAAAAATATTTCCAACAAAAATAGCATTTACGATCTTCACTATCCCACATATCTGCAAAAGAGAAGTGTCTGCAAATGTATTAAATCTTCTGCGTGCCGAAGATATCCTTAGATATCCCAGATTGCAAATAGTCTAAGTTAAAGTAGTTAAGCAGATATTTTATATAGAAACTGTTCTATCAAAATATATGAAATGAAAGTAATTACAGGGCATCACATATGTATATACAACTTGGCCACTTCTTATTTTTTCTGGTACAAATTTATATGCTATTTCAACGGATTTGTCAATAATCAAAAAGAAGAAGAAGAATAATGACAAATACGCCAATAAAAGAAAACATATGAAGTGTCATGTTTATAGATAAGGCACACAAAAGACCTGCGCTCAGCTAAGCCAAAAGAAGAATAAAAATTAAAATAAAATAAAATAAATAAACAAACACAATGGCCAAATAGCTATAAGCATGGTAATGAGAACTGAAGCGTGCATAATTAAATTGCGCCCACTGTTAAATTAATGACACCAAAGAATGCAACTAAATAATAGGATTTATTTCGCAAGCCAAGCTCCGGAGTTCAAGATGTGTTAAATTCTGCAATCGTTGTTATTGTTGTTGTTGTTGTCTCTGAACTATTCTTGCTCAGCTCTGAGACGTTGCAGCTCCTCCACATAATGGACAGGCGTCCAGTTGCCAAAGAGCGCATCGCCCAGGGCGATGTACGCCCTGTATAGTGCCTCATAATTCACATGTGGTTTATCCTCCAGCTCCTCCTCGTCGTGCGTGGCTGCTGCTGGTCGCAGGCTGAGGCACACGAGTGCTGCCACAGCCACAAGCAGCCAAAGGAAAGGTAGACGCAACATGCTGGACACAATTCTAGAACTCTTCTCTTTTTAGGTTTGGCTGTTGCTGCTTTTATAGGCAGGTTGCGTGCTATTTAGCATGTTGCCACAGTTGGTGGCTGCAACGGCTGCGCAAATAGCAAATAGTGGACATGGCAAATATTGTATGCGAGCCGCTTGTTTAACAGCTCGGCCAAAAGTGGATCAGGGGCATTAGTTAAATGCTTAAATAGCAAATTTAATGCTTGTTTAACGCTGCCCGAGGAGGAAGAACCACAAATTTGCATTCGATATGCGTGGATTTGGTTTGGCATCACATGACAAACCGCCAACGCCGCCTACTTCATTAATCAAATTGGCCAAAAAGCCAACAGGCCAACAAGCCAACAAGCAGACGAGCAGACGAGCCAACGGGCCA